TGGTCACAGGTGGGCGGGGCCTCCTGGTCACAGGTGGGCGGGGCCTCTGAGGCCTCCTCCGTACCGGACCGGCCTCTCCGGATCACGACTGGATGCAGTTCTTCTTCTGGTGCCGCCGGCGAGATTTGAATCCTGTTAAACAAAAAAAAGACATTTAGGGGGAGATTATGTAAGAAAAATGTAAGAAAGAGTCAAAATTCAGTCAAACAAAGGATCGGCATCAAAGGACTGCGGAGCTAAAACAGAAAAATTGGGTTATTTTTACTTAACAAACGCATGGATTATTATGTCACTGTATTATGTTAACCTTAAAAGTAAGAGAAAACTGAAAGTCAAAAGCAAATATTTGGAATCAATATGATCTTATCTTATAGTTGCTGATATAAAAAAATAATTAAAAAAATATGTGACTTATAGTCTAATATTTCACACTCTTTGACTGGTATAATGACATCAATAAATGATATGTCCTGATTACAAAATTGTTCAATAAGCTTCATCTGGTACATTTAGTCAAATTAAACTGTTCAACTCTGATATGAAAAATTTGTATTTAAGTAAACACACATATGTAATAACAACGTTAATTCTGACTAAATAAAGTATGGACGTCTTCTTTTTATGTTTTGGTGTCGGTGCTTATTTTTTGGACCTTTTACACCAATTCATTCTCGAGTTTTCATACTTTTGGTGGCAAAATATGCTCATAAAAATAGACAAAAATATTCCCTTTCAGAGAATGACTTAAACTGATAAATTCAACATAATAACAAAGTACAATGATATAATAATCTGTGTTTCTCAAGTAAAAGTAATCGAATTTTGAAAGTTTCTTACATTTTGGAGTTAAATCTACCGTTAAAGAACTGATTTATGGTGTTTATCATTAGCATTAGTATTAATATCATTGCTATTTTTCATCCAGTTTATGTGTTGCTGTGTTGGCTGCCTCCCTCTGTCCTTTTCTCTCTCTCTCTCTCTCACCCCCAACCGGTCGAGGCAGATGCCCCCCCACCCTGGGCCATGGTTCTGCTCGAGGTTTCTGCCTGTTAAAAGGAAGTTTTTCCTTGCCTGTGTCGCCTAGTGCTTGCTCATGGTGGGAATTGTTGGGTTTCTGTAATTAACTTCAGAGTAGGGTCTGACCTGCTCTGTTTGGAAAGCTGTGAGACAACTGTTGTTGTGATGTGGCGCTATATAAATGAAATTGAATTGAATTGAATTAATTTTAATTTTCTAATGTCATTGTCTGAACGTGTGTTTGGACTGATTTTGTATTTTGTGATTTTGTGTTGTTTGATCTTCCTGCCTCAGGACGACAGATGTAAACTAGCAACTATGCTAGAATCTGGCTCATTTACAATCTGTATGAGATTGTTCATTAATGTGCACTGTCCTGATTAAAGAAATAAAAAAAATAAAATAAAAAAAATAGAAGCCTGATATTTACGGACAAGCTTTAGCAGATCGTCACCCAAGCCACTCTCGTTGAAAAACATAAAAGACGTCTATAGAAGTCTTTGGCAGTCAACGGTTGGATTTGAATTGACGTCTATAGACGTCTTCTTTGGCAGCCAATGAGTTAAGAACTGATTTATGGCGTTTATCTGTGAACTGTGGGCTGTAGGGACTGAGGGAAACGCACCGTCCTCGTCGGCCATGTTGATGGTCTGCAGGGACAGGCTCCTCTGGCTGAGTTTGGACGGCTTTTTGGCCTTCAGGGCTTTCAGAGGTCCTGGTTTCTCCACGATCTCGAACGAGTCCTCGAGCTCTTTTCCCGCCGCGCCGTTGGCCTCCGGGTCTCTGGGCGCGGGGGCGGGGCTCTGGGGGGTGGCCACGCCCTCCTCTATGGTCTCCGTGCTGTGATTGGCTCCCCGGCCTTTCAGGAAGTGCCTGAAGGAGCTGCGCTGCTTCCTGGCCGACGCCGCCAGGTTCTTCTTCAGGCTCTCCTTGATCTCCTCGTCTTCTTCCTCGGCCGGTTGGTTCTGAGCGACCGCCTTTTCCCCGCCGTCCCCGTTCCGCACGCCGTTCTGCACGCCGTTTCTCTGGTCCCTCTGAGTGGACAGGTCCTGGAGTGACCCCGTCCGGCCCAAACTGTTCCCAAACACCAGGGAGTACTTTGGGTTGTGGTACTTATGAGCGGGCACCTTCAGGTCGGTTTGTCCCGAGTCCCCGACCGAGACCTGGAACCGGGACATGGAGGTGGGCGGGGCCCGGTGCTCCATTTTGGGCTTCATGGCGGGAGTGGGGAGGGGCGGCCGGGTGAGGCCGAACTCCCGGTAGAGATCCACCGGCTCCGACACGGCGTACAGCTCCCGGAAGTCCTGGTCAAAGAAGTCCACGGTGTGTCCGGACATCACGGTGATCACGTTCCTGTCCATCCGAGACGAGCTCCAGGTGAAGCTAACGGAGAGAGGACCACAGTGAATCTGGGGTGGGAAATTATCCAACCCGGCCAAGTCAAAATACCCTACATGTTTATGTTTATGCATTTGGCAGACGCTTTTATCCAAAGCGACTTACAGAGTAGACACAATATTACATTTCTCATCACTATGACAATAAGCTATAGAGAGGAGAAACACTGATCAGAGTCAGTGGTGAAATAGAGATAGAGGTAGAGGGACTACAGAAGGAGCTGTGGGGGGGTAGAGGTACGGGTTAGGGTTAGGATAGGAGCTGTGGGGGGGTAGAGGTACGGGTTAGGGTTAGGATAGGAGATGCTCTTTGAAGAGGGGGGTCTTCAAGAGTTTCTTGAAGACAGACAGGGACCTGCTGTTCTTGTAACACATATTTCCTTCATTAAGCTCTTATCATTCCAGCAAATATCTCCTAACAAATTTGAGGAAACTATCAGGTAAAACTACATTATCAAGCAGCTGCCAACTGCTTTAAATTGAGCTGAAAGGAGATAAACTGGCTAAAAACAGGCCAGAATTCATGCTGGAAGGGAAAAAAATAAATAAATTCTTATTTAAAGTAGATGGCTGTTCAGCAAATCACTGAATTAAAGTTGCATAAAGGCTCTGAGACGTTCTTAAATAAAATTAAATAAAAGTTGTTAATTTTGTCATGGGTGTTGTGAGCTAGCTTAGAACTAGTTCAAAGCTTAAGAAGGAACAGGCCCAAAACTGTAAATACGAGGAATTTTAATGACCACACTTTGAATAAAACTGTTTCTGTAGCTTCCTTTTATGCGCTCTACTGTTGGCTAAGTGGGACGCGGAGGCTTTGGGGATATTGGGGATATTCACCTGTACGACCCGAACATGACTTTCTCTCCGTCCACCAGCATGTATTTGGAGCACAGGGAGCCGGGCAGCTTTCCGAAGGACAGGGCCAGCCCCGCCCCGCTCACCGTGCGCACGCGGAGGTTCTGCAAAAAAACCCCCCCCTGGTTTCCCCCCGGGGGGGGGGGGGGGGGGGGGGCTCATCCTGAGGCCACGCCCCCAACCCCGGACCTGCTGACTCAGCCATCACCACATGACTGAACACACAGGAGAAGTTAACCCTGTAATGCCAGACGTATCGTATTTTATTCATACGGTTTCTGAAATGTTTTGCGTGAGGACGGATTTCACCACAGAAAGGCCAGAAACAGCCACAATTTAGGTTTAAAAAGTTATTAAAACGTGCACTATGGCAGATTTACTCGACCTCATAACAGAACTAAGCAAACACAACTTGTTTGATGGAGTTTTTTTACACAAAAGGATGTAAAACAACAGTCAAATAGGTCAGAAATCATACATTTGTGGCTTTTTTATCCAACCTAATCGGCTTTGTTTTCTCATTTAAAGAATCCTAAATCTCATTCTCATCCATCCATTTCCAGAAGGACAAAAATATGAGGAGACAAGGAAACCCACAACTTTTAACCCTGTAATGCCAAATGTATCATATTTGATTCATACGGTTTCTGAAATGTTTTTCGTCTGACACCTTTTGCATAATTTAATGGTAAAAACTCTGCTTAAAATCCTATTGTACACAATCAGATACACCTGATAACAGGGGGCAGAAGACTACACAAAAAATAATCTTGACCTATCTCATAGTAATAAATTATTCATATCAAAAATGTATTTCTGTTTTTCATTTTTACATATTTTGTTAAAAGGCCAAATAAGGAATTCAAACAAAAAAAAAAGTAATTTTCTGTTTTGTTTTATTCATGGATCAGGCTTTAAAGGGTTAAACACAGGCTCCGTTTACTCAGAGGGGAGGTTTACCCCCTCCGGACCTGCTCTCAGGAGCTGTGAATGTCCACTTGTGGGAAGTAAGAGTGACACGGCCCGGTGCTCTGAAAAAGCCTTTCACGGTGGATAAACTGACACCACTCCGGGCTCCTCCGGGCTCAGCTATCAGGCCTTACAGCCCGGCAGATAAGGCCGGCCATTGTGTGCCTCAGAGATAGGATGACAGCAGCTCCTACCGCCTCCCTCCACTCACAGAAGCTCTCACTGTATATTTATGCAGGAATCGACCCTTTTTGGGCTAATTTGGATTAAATCGTCCTGTTTTTCCTCGGAAAAAAAGGTCCGGTTTGAGTTAAAGATCACGCATTAAAAGCAAAAAACGCGGATATATACCAAATGGAACAGATAACATATTCTCTTAGACTACAAATACCCATATCCACTAAACGTTGGAGACCTGTCGTACCACTAATAATGCAGTTATGTTTTTTTTGTTTGTTTCTTTTTTTCTTTTTTTTTTCTTTTTTCCAACTCTCAAAGTCTGAAACTTTTACCTTTCATACTCTTGAAATCACCCTGTTGTTTGTGTTTTGTTTCTTATGTTTAAGTGTAAAAATACACATGTACATTCTTTACACACTGTATTATTTCTGAAAAAATAATAAAAAATTTGTTTTAAAAAAAAAAGCAAAAAACGCTTTGACAAACGTTGGGCTTCGTAAAATTCAACATTTTTTACATGTTTTTGAAGCATTTAAAGTCCAATTCTCCTCCTCTTTGGGCTGCTGTCCCCGCCTCGACACTCCTGAGTGTGAGGAAACGCGTCGGATTTAAAGCCTGAGGTTAAAAAAAATTCAAAAGATGCCAAGAAACTGGAAGTAGTGAAAAATGTGTGACGCTGGAACTGAGCTGCTCAATTCAGGGACGGCAAACTCAGCCCGGTGAGCTAAACGGCTCCAGTTCTCCACAAGTAAAATTAGCTGGGAGCTAAACTGTGATATGTAAAAAAAACAAAAAACATTTAAATGGCGGCTTGGTAACAGCTGACAGTAAACTGGTGTCTTAAAGGTTTAAAGAGGTTAAAGTTTCTCAGGTATTCCATGGATTCTACACTTTAAGCACCTTTATGTGAAGGAAAAGGTGGTCCTCTGAGTTTGGGCTTGCTGTAAAGGCTGGTTAGAATTTGGCTTTAATTACTCACTTTAGCATAGTATGCTATCACATGATCTATGTAAATTACTGATTGTTTTATTTTCTTTTATATATTTTGTTTTAAAGTATCTGGCTTTGTCCACAGACTCTCTTTCCTCTCTTTTCTTTTCTTTCTCTGTTGCATTAGATCCACCTTTAGGTCAACACACACACACACACACCATTTGTTA